AATTGGAATCCATATTTAAAGCAAAGTAGGTACATTGCTTCATTATATCAAACATCTGTATAAAATGATCTTAAAGTAAGGACGAGAGGTCAATACAGATTGGTAATGAAAGGAAAATTATATTATAATGAAGATATTATTGCAAGCAATCTGCAGAAAAATAGATCTAAACTTATGACTGAGTAAATGAATAATTCACTAGCAGAGGAGAATTAGGTCATATTCAAAGCTAATTTGTGCAGAAATTGATAAACACTCAAACATCCTCCAGTAATGGTTACAATCTACTTTTAGAAATCTGAAACATAGAACAATAAAGCCTCATGAAACCAAGACAATATTGCAGATTACATCAATGTTTTTGATGGTTATTTAAATCTAATTGCATAAACTTCAACATACAATTTTAATCATCTGGAAAGAGACGGCAGCTTAGTGCAGTGATCAAATATAGTGTTGAGAGAAGATGCCCTCATTATTTAGCTACCGAACATTTAATGCACAAAATTCAAAACAGCAGCAAGGCATCTTCAGTAACTGACAATGTAATAAGAGGATGTAGGCTTCTAATTATAATATGAAGCAATCATATAATCCTGAGAGCTTTCCTATCTACCTAATCCACGTGGAAACACTTTGATTCGAAAAATTCCTCATTTCCAAACAGCTTTCTTAGAGAAACTTACCCCTCCTATTTCCCCAGGTCACAATATAGCTGGACTAGAGAATATTGGGCTCAACTTGCTGAATGACTTTGCAATAATTTTCCCCTTCCTAAAGAAAGCACCTGATCATAGATGGTACTCAAATGGCTAGCACTGCCACACTGAGGCAGAAATACTTCCTCAAAGCAAACATTTTTTTCCACCAGTCATATACTTACAACTTAAAACACCCAGAGCTGACCAAGACCCTCGAGTGGGAGATCATCCTGTTGAAAAGGGAGGGTTAGCCGTGAGGATGTAGAGATGATTCAGACAGATTGAGTGAGTGTACAAATGCATGGCAGATGACATATATTGAGGTTATCCATTTCAGTAGCAAAAACAGGCAGGCGGATTATTATCTGAATGGCAACTGGTAAGGGCGAGGTGCCATGAGACCAGGATTCATACAGTCAGAGTCATACAACATGGAAATAGACCTCTGGTCCAACTTGTCCATGCCAACCAGGTTACCCAAACTAAACTAGCCCTACTTACCTGTATTTGGCCCTTCTAAAACTTTCCTATTCATGTACCTGTCCAAACGTCTTTTAAATGTTGTAACTGAACCTGCATCTACCACTTCCTCTGGCAGTTCATTTCACACACGAACCACCTTGTGTGAAAAAGTTGCCCCTCAGGTACTTTTAAATCTTTCTCCTCTCACCTTAAACCTATGCCTTCTAGTTTTGAACTCCCCTACCCTAGGGCAAAGACCTTGGCTATTCACCTTATCTATTCCCCTCATGATTTTATAGACCTCTATAAAGGTCTGCTCTCAACCTCCCACCTCGAGGTGAAATAATTCCCAACCTATCCACATACCCCTTATAACTCAAGACCCCCCTGTCCCAGTAACATCCTTATAAATCTCTTCTGAACCTTTTCAAGCTTAATAATATTCTTCCTACAGCAGAATGACTAGAACTGTACACAGTACTCCAAAAGTGGCCTCACCAACATCCTGTACAACCACAACATGAAGTCCCAACTCCCATACACAATGAAGGCAACCAGGCCAAACACGTTCTTTACTACCCTGTCTTCCTGTGACAGGACTTTCAACGAAGTATATACCTGAACCCCTAGATCTCTCTGTTTTGCAACAGTCCACAGGACTCTATCATTAACTATACAAATCCTGTCCTTGTTTGTCTACCAAAATGCAACACCAAGTATTTATCTAATTAAACGCGATCTGCCACTCCTCAGCCCATTGACCCAATTGATCAAGTTCCCTTTGTACTTTTAGATAACCTTCTTCACTGTCTTCTATACCACCAATTTTGGTGTCATCTGCAAATTAACTAACCATGCTTCTTATATTCTCATCCAAATCATTTCTGAAAGCGTGCATGTAGGTGCAACAGGTGGTCAAGAAGTCAAATGACATAGCAAAAGGATTTGATTACAGAAGCAGGGATGTCTTGCTACAAATGTACAAGGCCTGGGTGAGACCACACCTGGACTACCGTGTGCAGTTCTGGTCTTCTTACAGGACGGATGTTCTGTTATAGAGGGAGTGTAACAAAGGTTTACCAGACTGGGATGCCAAGACTGATATCTGAAGACAGACTGGATCGGTTTAGACTATATTCACTTCAGTTCAGAAGAATGAAGCGTGCTTCACAACATTCTAAGAGGACCAGACAGGATAAGCACAAGAAGGATGTTCCAATGACCAAGGAGTGCAGAACCAAGGGTGACTGTCTCAGGATAGGAGTAGGCCCTTTATGATTGAGTTGAAGAGAAATTTCTTCTCCAAGAGTGTGCTGGGCCTGTGGAATTCTCTGCTACAGAAAGCAGTCAAGGTCAAAGCATTGAATGCTTTCAAGGAGGAGTTAGATATAGTTCTTAGGGGTAAAGGGATGAAAGGGTATGGGGAGAAAGCGGGAGCAGCATACTGAGTAGGATGATCAGCCATGATTATAGTAAATGGCATAGAAAACTCAAACAGTTTAATGGCCTACTCCTGTTCCTATTTTCTATGCTTCCATATTTCTAAAAGGCAAGCAATCCAAGCACTGTACTAATATTTTTAATTGCACCAATTAACATGCAGTCAATCCTAACTAGGTCCACAGCCGGAGGCTTATTTTAAGACTTCATTTTTGGCCAACGCCATGGTTCCGTGTAGAAACACACATTAGGACATGCTCAGATTGGAGTACAATCTTTTAAGGGGAGGCAATTCTTTACTCATTCACGGAATGAGGGCATCACTGGCTAGGCAGCATTTATTGCCCATCCCTAATTGCCCAGAGGACAGTTAAGAGTCAACCACATTGCTGAGGGTCTGGAGTCACACGTAGACCAGACCAGGTAAGGATGGCAGTTTCCTTCCCTAAAGGACATTACTGAACCAGATGGGTTTTTCCGACAATCGACAATGGGGTCACGGTCATCATTAGATTCTTAATTCCAGATATTTGTTGAATTCAAATTCCAAATGGCCTAATTGGTATTATCACTGGACTGTTAATCCAGATACTCAGATAATGTTCTTGGAATCTGGGTTCAAATCCCATGAATCCATTGTCTGTTGTCGGGAAAAATCCATCTGGTTCACTAATGTCCTTTAGGGAAGGAAATCTACTATCTTACCTGGTCTGGCCTACCTGTGACTCCAGACCCACAGCAATATGGTTGATACTCAACTGCTCTCTGGGCAATTAGGGATAGGCAACAAATGCTGGCTTAACCAGTGACACCCACATCCTGTGAATACGTTTCTAAAATAAAAAAGCACACATGCAATGTACTGCTCATGTAATAAGTCATCTAATATATGGTTTGATTTATAAATAACAATACTGTTGTATTATGGGAAATGACAAAGGTCAAAATTAAAATTGATATACTTGTTCCTTGGCAATTTATGAACAGGCCAAGTGATGAACATCTTCAAAAGAGTAATTATTTTAGATTAAATGCCAATTTGAAAATCTCAGTGGTGCCACTCAATGGTCATTTCACATTTTCCTTTAGTTCCCATTAGGAATGGTGCTATGTTAGTCTGAAACTGCCTTGGCACAGTTCATCTATTACCAGATGTAATGGTCTTCAGTTACAGGTAAGACAGCTGTGGTTTACAACGTTTTGAAAGCATCAAAAATTTTACACTAATTGCATGATGTCATGGGTGCAATTACTCTTGCGTAGATGGATCACAGTGGTCAACTTAAACAGCAGCCCTACTTTCTGCTGCATTGGACGCACAGCAATTTCTTATTCTTTTGCAGGATGTGGGCATCACTGGTTAGATCAGCACTTATTGCACACCCCGAATAGTTTTGAGGTGGTGGTGCGGTGAACAGCTTAAACAGTATGTGGTGTAGGAACATCCATTATGCTGTAAGGGAGAGATTTCCAGGATATTGACACAGCAACAATGAACGGACAGTGATACAGTTCCAAGTGTAGATGGGGTTAAAAAAAATCACACAGCGCCAGGTTACAGTCCAACAGGTTTATTTGAAAACACTAGCTTTCAAAGCGTTGCTCCTTCCTCAGGTGTAGGAGCAATGCTCTGAAAGCTAGTGTTTTCAAATAAACCTGTCAGACTATAACCTGGTGTCACATGATTTTTGACCTTACCCAACCCAATCTAACACCGGCACCTCCACGTCAAGTCTAGATGGTGTATGGCTTAGGAGGTTATCTATAGGTGATGGCTGTCCCATGCATCTACTGCATTTGTCCTTCTTGATGACAGTGATCATGTATTTGGAAGATGCCTTGGTAAGTTGTTGCAGTGTATCTCAGATAGACTGGAGTTGCTTTTGAGAGCAGAAGAGACTGAGGGGTGAGATGATTGAGATGTATAAAAGTATGAGGTGCATAGACAGAATAGACAGGAAGAAACTTTTCCTCTTGGTGCAGGGATCAATGATCGGGGGAAATAGATTTAAGATAATGGGCAGAAGGTTTAGACAGGATGTGAGGAAAATGTTTTTCAGCCAGAGGAAACTCACTCCTGAAAAGGGTAGTAGAGAGAGAAACCCTCATAGCATTTATGTTATTTAGATGTACACTTGTGATGCCAAGGCATACAAGGTTGTGGACCAAGTGCTGGAAAATGAAATTATAACAGTTAGGTGGTTGCTTTTGACTGGTGCAACTCAATGGGCCAAAGAGCCTTTCTCAATGCTTTATAATTCAAATTGGATAATTCTTTCACATAAAGCCAACTTAACCATGACGGGATAAATAGCCTCCTTCAGCGCTTTTATTATTTGATAACCTAATTCACGCTAGTGATTTCCACCAAATGGCAAATGCTAAAATATATTTTACCTCTTTCACTTTTATTCCAATGCCACATTCTCCATTGATGCTGAGAAGCTGAGGATGAAAGACAATCTTTACATAAACATTTAAAGTAGGCCAAAAATGCAGCTGGTTGCTGTTCAGATCCAAAACTACTTTCCAAGCTAGATCAAGAGATTTCGCACAAAGAGATTCCTCTGACCTGTAAAGCTAAATAAATCAACAGGTTAAAATGCACGGTAAACACTCAAACAATATTATAACTATATTACAGTTTGCACATTCTTCAGTCTCAAACTGTCAGAAGGCACATTTTAAAGACATTCAAAAGACTGAAAATATTTCAACAACATAGCCACAAATATGTATCTTTTGGTTACCATCAGAAAAAAGACTATTTTATATTTGTAAGAAAAAGTAGCACAATCATTTATTGCAGGAGTAAATGTGAAATGCCTTAGTTGCTACTAGTCAAATACTTGTCATATTAAATCTTGCTAACCTTTGGAACAAGAATCTTCATGCATTGCAGTATGGGAAGTACTTGGTCCGATCGAACAATGTTAAGTGCCTCTACACAGGCATGGAGAATGAGTGCTGGATTTTCTACAGCAGTTAATGAAAGCACACAACTCTTGTTGGCTACAGTTTCAGATGGCTGCTCAAGTTTGTTCAAAATAAAATGGATGCAGACCCACTGATCATGGATGTACTGTGTAGATACCTTTCCCCAGCCCTCAGCTGAAAATACATCATCTGAAGGTCTAAACAAGAGAAAAATATTTTTTTAAAGACAGGAACAGTTTAGTACTAATGCAACATTTTACAGCAGCATAAAATTATATAAGAGCAGAGAAATGCAAAGCTGTTAATAAAATGCCAATCTACAAAAATATTCTGCTCCTATCCTCAAGGTCCAAAATGCTTCACACAATTAACATATTGTAATGATAAAATGCTTGAGACAAACAATTCATATGAGGTGTTTGAGCGAGAGGCACTAGTTGCAAATTTGAAACCTAAACCACCAAATAAGGTATAACTAGACTATTCTGAAGACCTCTACAGTAAATATGCAAGGAGTGAATTCTTGTATCATGGCAAAACTGCACTCTGGAATGTCAACACCTAGAATTTGTTCCTTATTCTTAAAACATCTTCTGGGAGAAAAGTGAAAATAACACCATTAAAATATTTGACAGCAAATAGAAAACTTTCACAATAATGAACAGCCTTCAATCCACATCATGACCAAAAATCCGGGAGTCCTGTATCTAAAAAAAAAGTTAGATTTATTCATTTACCATAAACCAGTGCAACCAATCAGCTGAGGCAGACTTTAGATATTGCATGGCACCAGACATCATGTACTCTTATAAAATTACAAAAGCTCATGCAGTTACAACATTAAATGCCTTCAACTTATTATCCCTTGCTAACACTGCACCTGACTAAATATCAAACCATCTGTTTTACTAGCTCTTGCACCATTATACCAAATTTGTGTCAATTGCACCAATTCCTCAAGTATGTACTGACAGGTTTTTGTTATTAAAATTCCAGATTTGCGATTGATGAAACTTTTTTTAAAAAATGAAGAATTTGCAGCAGGTGGAAAAATACTTTGAAATGCATTTGAAAGCTGCAGACCTTAACAGCAAAAAATAGTCATTGTGTGATTATGTCAATTGCATGCATACTCATTGTTTATTACTAGAATGCATTTTTGTTGTTTAAAACCACCATCCATTCTGCAGCATGTTGTCTGGTGGCTTGACAACTTGGCATATTTATTTCTGGTAAGGTTAAGTTGGAGAACAATTGGCACTAACTCAGAACTCACATGCAATGTGGGTAATTATCATGGACAGAATAATATTGTTCTAGGAATATTTAATTTTAATAGAAGAACACTGTTGACTTAATATTCATGTGTGATTTCACAATAACCACAGACTCTGATTAGCTGGCAAGTCATGAATTTAATTAAAAACATCTGGCTTGCAGGCTGATCACCATAAGATTGGTTGTTGTATCATTTCCCTTCTCAAGAAAGCAGACAGGGAGGTTTGTTCTGATTCCGCTATTTATGTTGCCTCTTTCTAAGCGGCTGCTGGGCCGATCATGAGCAGGTTCCATAGTTCTCCAGCTCTTAGCATTTCCACTTCATATGGACAGCCTTCGCTCAATAACTTCCCCAATAGCCCATCCAGTGTGTTGAACATGGCAAGTTTTGAACAACTCACTCAAATTCCTTCAGAATCAATATAAAAATTAGCAAGGTAGGAAAACAATTGTGTGCTAATACTGATTCCTCTTGACGTTGTCTAGACAGCTCTCCCAAATCTTAATCTAGTTAAAGTTTAGTTGTCTTTCCAAACTGAGTACAACCATTAATACAATGTTTCAACCTGGATACCTCCAAACCAGAGGCAGAAAGAGCTTTGATCCAAGCTGGATCAGATTACGTGTCTGATAGCTGGTGTCAGCTGAGTTGCTTGCTGGTGAACAGGGTGATATCTAATTTGCGTTAAATCGGAATTGGAAGAACTAAGCTGCAAATAAATATCAGAAAAGGCTGCTTAGAATTTTTTGAAGTAGATAGAATAGAATGCCTTGGATTGATAAGTAAATTACACTAACTGTGATCCTCCACCACCCCATGAACTTTAAGCTGCTGCTCTAATATTCACTGCAAACCTTTAATATTCACGTTGGACCTCCCTGCATAATAATTTCGCACTTGAAATAGTAAATTGTTCCTTTTTCTTACTCATTGTCTTCTTTACTGCAGAAAGGTTTCTCAAGTTTCTTGTTGAAGGGACCAATTAAAACAGATTTAACCAATGTTTTGGCAGCATCAAGGGAGTCAAGCAGCAGCTCTGGATACTGGGCATTAATCTTGCAAATCCAAGCCAAAGAAGCTCTAGCAACCACCTTTTGGATCTGTTGTCTCAGTTTCAGAACCTGTGACAAAAGGCAAAACAGAATTTATGTTTCTTCAGCTGAACTCTGTTAACATTCACATTTGTTTATTTTAAAAACAATATTCATTCATGGATGAGGTTGTTGCTGGCTAGTCCAGCTTTTATTGCTTGTCCTAACTGCCCTTTTTCTTCTTTTTGTTCATTCATGGGATCTGGGTGCCATTGGCTAGGCCAGCATTTATTATCAATCCCTGTCGGCCCGTCCAGGTAAGGACAGCAGATTCGATTCCCTTCCCTAAAGGGCATTAGTGAACCAGGCAGGTTTTTATGGCAATCGATCGTGGTTACATGGTTGCCTCTAGGCAAGCTTTTCATTCAAGATTTTTTAAAAATTGAGTTCAAGCTTCAGCATTTGACACAGTGACATTTGAACCCATGTCCTCAGAACATTAGCCTGGGGTTGTGGGTTACTCGTCCAGCAACATGACCATGACACCACTATTACCCTGCAATGAGGTGGTGGTCAGAAGCTGCATAATTTTGCATGTTGGATAACATAACTGCAATTCACAAAGAAAGTTTTTATTCAGTCGTGAGATATGGGCTTTGCTGGCTGGGCCAGCATTTATTGCCTATCCCTAGCTGCCCTTGAGAAGGTGGTAGTGAGCTGCCTTCTTGAACTGCTGCAGTCCATGCGCTGTAGGTAGACCTAAAATGCTACTAAGAAGGAATTCCAGGATTTTGATCCTGCGGCAGTTAAGGAACAGCGATATATTTCCCAAAAACATTCATTTTCAGACAGTCTGGAATAGACAGCTGAAACCTGCTGATACTACAGATTCCCTACAATTCTTCATATCTTCAGAGAATCCCTACTGTATGGAAACAGGCCCTTCAGCCCAACAAGTCCACACCAACCCTCAGAGTATCCCACCCAGACCCATTACCCAGAACCCACCTAATCTACACATCCCTAAACACTATAGGCAATTTAGCATGGCCAATCCACCTAGCCTGCACATCTTTGGACTGTGGGAGGAAACTACAGCACCCAGAGAAAACCCATGCAGACACGGGGAGAATGTGCAAACTCCACACAGACAGTTGCCCGAGGGGGGAATTGAGCCTGGGCCCCCGGCGCTGCAAGGCAGCAGTGCTAACCACTGAGCCACCGTGCCGCCCCTTATATCATTGATAGTAGACAGTTCAATTCTTCCTAAAGTCAATCATCAAACTCCCACTGAATGATGATTTCAAGTTAGAAAAGGTAGCTGGAGGTAACTTAATTGCATCCACGGTCAAAGAGAAACTTCCTAGAACTTCTGCCCACCAACTCCAGGTTTCTCAAAACAGTTTTACAAATGGAAGAGACTGATTAAAGCCAAAATAAGTTTATTAAAGGAGGACAAAGGTGAAGCCAAAAAGGTAAGAGGCAGTAAGCCGCTGGCTATATTTCAGAGAAACATGAAGAAATTGCCTATTAAAAAAATTGAAGAAAATGATCCAGTTTCCCAATAAACAGTTCTATAAATAGCTTCACACAAATTGGAACAAAAACAAACTCATTTTACACATCAAGACATCAGGTGATTGAGAAGCTGAGATTTTATGTGCAATAAGCAAAACATTTTTAAAGGAGATGGAAAAATGTGTCTTATTGAACCAAGATGTTTTATGAGCCTCACAAAAGGGAAGAGTGGAGGTATGATCACTTTCATGCCAGCTGGAAGAACATCAAATATTCACTGCCACAGGTAGAAAGGTCAGAAAAATAAAAAAGTGGTTGTTGAGTCAGACAAAGATAGCAAAGAATTCTCAAAGGGGTAATAGAGCCAAAGGAACCAAGCAAGTTGGGACTCCTGAGTGTAATTTGTTGGATGCATTCTGCAGGAGGCATCCAAGCAAGGGGAAGATAAAAGACAGAATCCAGTTTGGGAGACAATATGAAAGACCAGGAGATTAGCTGAAATAGCAGGGTCTTCAAGTTATTGACAGGGCAATTTTTAAAACAAAAACTCAAAGTGGTTTTGTTCAAAAATGAAAAATTTAAAAATGTAATCATCCACCATACCATAACTGGGGACATGCTATGTCCTCAGTTCCCAAGTTTCCATTCTTGGCTGTGCAAGCAAGCGAGAGGCAGAGCGATGAAAGGTGGAAATGAGTGGAACATTATTCCATATGTACGCTCCTAGCACGTTAACAGGAAGATTCTCACATATCTGAAAACACCTCAATGCTTTTAACCTAAATCATGGTATTGGACAAAAAAACTCAAATTGAAATAAGTACATGTTTAAAAAAATGCTTTAACATAAGCATTTACGTATTCAGACGTCATTTGGTGAATTACAAAGTTACAGGGGCAAGTTCTTTACCATGAAAGGGCCACAAGGCAATAGATTTTTAAAATAATTTATTTTAATAAGAGGATAGGATGGAATAAATCTGCAGAGGCAGACAACTGCCAAATAAAGAAGCAGAAATGATGCTTTGCAGAGTTCAATGCGTTTAAGTATTTATAGATGTTCTGTCATTTATTCTTTTGGAAGTTTAAATGATTACATCACTTTTTCAAACATACCTGTCCAAAGAGAATATCCAACAAGTTTTGTCTCTTGTTGGTCTTCAAGGCAAAGACAACTATGTCTGCCAACTGGGTTATTTGGTAGGGATCTGGTAGACATACATGTGACTATTGATACTGATCTGTGCCTGGAAGATTTTGCTGCAATCAGGACTAGATGCAGCAGATGATTCAGTTTTGGATGGGGTGCTGCCTCAGGGACTTCCATCTGTTTCAATCCACAAATTGCTTCCCCTGCCCACTAGGGAACAGATAATTCTGGACTTGGTGATGTATAATGAGGTAGATTTGATTATGGACCTGAAGGTGAAGGAACCCCTAAGGGGCAGTGACCACAATATGATAGAATTCACCCTGCAGTTCGAGAGAGAGAAGCCAGAATTAAGTGTAACAATATTATAATTGAATAACTGTAACCACAAAGGCATGACAGAGGAGCTGGCCAGAGTTGATTGGAAGGGGAGCCTAGCAGGGAAGATGGTGGAGCAGCAATGGTAGGAGTTTCGGAGAGTAATTTGGGAGGCGCAGCAGAAATTCATCTCAAGGAAAAAGAAACATACTAAAGGGGAGGATGTGGCAACCACAACTGACAAGGGAAGTCAGGGACAGCATAAATGTAAAAGAAAAAGCATACAAATGTGGTGAAGATTAGTAGGAAGCCAGAGGATTGGGAAACTTTTAAAAACCAGCACAAGATAACTAAAAAAGCAATAAGGGGGAAAAGATTAAATGAGGATAAGCTAAAAATTAAAGAGAAGACCGCAAGAGTTTTTTTTTTAAAAAAGATATGCAAAAGGTAAAAGAGAGGCAAGAGTGGACATTGAACCACTGGAAAATGAGGCTAAAGAAATAATAATGGGGAACAATAAAATGGCAGAGGAACTAAACAGGTACTTTGCATCAGTCTTCATGGTGGAAGGCACCAGCAGCATACCAGGACTTCAGAAGAATCAGAGGGCAGAGGCAAGTGCAGTAGCCATCCCTAAGGAGAAGGTGCTACAGAAGCTGAATGGTCTGAAGGTGGATAAATCACCCAAACCAGATGGACTACACTTCAGTGTTCTGAAGGAAATAGCTGAGGAGATTGTGGAGGCATTGGTAGTGATCTTTTAGGAATCACTGGAGTCAGGAAGGTCCCCAGAGGACTGGAAAATAGCTAATGTAACACCTCGTTTATGAAAGGAGAGAGGCAGCAGACAGGGAATTAAAGGCTGGTTAGCCTGACCTCAGTCATGGGTAAGATTTTAAGAGTCCATTGTTAAGGATGAGATTGGTAGTGCATGGTAAAATAGGGCTGAATCAGCATGGCTTTGTCAAGGGGAGGTCATGCCTGACAAATCTGGTGGAATTCTTTGAGGAAGCAGTAAGCAAGTTAGACAAAAGAGAGCCAGATTTAGATTTCCAGATGGTCTTTGACAAGGTGCCTCACAGGAGGCTGCTAAATAAGAGCCCATGGCGTTGGGGCAAGGAAGCAAGAACAGAGGATTGGCTGACTGACAGAAGGTAGAGAGTCGGGGTAAAGCAGTCTTTTTCAGGATGCAGGTGGTGACTAGTAGAGTTCTGCAGAGGTCACTGCAGGGACAACAACTATTCACGTTATACATTAACAATCTGGATGAAGGAACTAAGGACATTGTTGCTAAGTTTGCAGATGACACAAAAATAGGGAGTGGGATGGGAAGGGAAGAGCCTACAGAAGGATTTGGACAGGCGGCACGGTGGACAAGGAAGTGACAGATGAAAACAATATGGCAAAGTGTGAAGTTATGCACTTTGGTAGCAAGAACAGAGGCATGGACTATTTTCTAAACAGGGAAAGGCTTCAGAAATCTGAAGCACAAAGGAACTAAGGTGTTTCAGTTCAGGATTCTCTTAAGACTGACATGCAGGTTCAGTTGGCATCTAAGGAGGAAAATGCAATGTTAGCATACATTTCAAGAGGGCCAGAATACAACAGCAGAGATGTACTGCTGAGGCTATCTAAGCGTCTGACCAGACTGCATTTGGAATATTGAGAGCAGTTTTGGGCCCTGTATCTAAGGAAAGATGTGCTGCTGTCGGAAGGGGAGTCAGAGGAAATTTACAAGAATCATCTCTGGGATGAAGGGCTTATCATACGAGGGGAGCTTCGGTATGGCTATGGTAACCATGAAAGTATCATCAATCTTTGTAGAGGCACATCTGGTTCACTGATCTTCCCTTCGGAACAGAATCTGGCCTGGTCTGGCCTACATGTCCCAGATTCACAGCAATGTGGTTGACTAACTGCTGTCAAGAGCAATTTCGGATGTGCAACAAATGCTGGGTTTTCCTGCAGCATCCACATATCATGAATGAATATAACATAGGCACAGAGAATTTCAAAGTTTCACCACGTAAATATTAAACAGTTTAAACAAAATTCTTGACTCAGGACAATGTTAGTGAGTAAACTACTGAAATTAATCTTAGAA